ATTTTCAGGGGATTAAAAAAAGGATTTCCTGTTAGCTACCTATATGAAAATAAACTCAATAAAATAAAACCACTGTGAGGGCATTTCAACATGCACCCTTGGCATCAAAACACTAAAATCAAACTTGTATGTGATGGTGAAACTCAAGCTTAATATGCTATAATTCCTTTCTTTATTAAAGCTTACAATTTGTTAATAAAATAACTTTGCGGAAAAGAAATTTGTGATTGAAAAGAGGTTAGAGAAGACAAATTTGAAGTTTATGAAGATCACACAGGAAAAGCCAGAGAAGCCAGCAACTATTTCAGAATATCCTTCGTTAGAATCTGCACAGCACTGGGCGTGTTGCCGCTGATCTGGAGTTCTGCTGCCTTCTTCTGAATTGCTGCTGCAACAGCCAGCGTCTCCTCATCGTTCCCTTGGACGAAGAGCAGTTTCTCCTTTGCCTCTTCAAGCTGTGTCATCCAGCCTTCGTTAAACACCTCGGCCTTCATCTTCTGTTGTTCCTCCAGGACCTGCTCAATGTCCTGCAGCTCATCCTTAAGTTTGGCTTGCATTAGCTTCTCCTGCACCAGAGGGTGGAAACGAAGATGAATTAATTATGCACAGAATACAAGCCTTCAATTATCAAAAAGGAGTTAACATGAATACTGATATCATATTTATATTTAAGAATCTCATAAATTTTTTTCATAATGTGGCCAATGAATACTATTACTGAAAAAATCAATAGACAAGAGACATTTTGAGGTAAAATATAACAAAAGGAAAGTTTTACTTTCAAAATACTAGTATGTACTACTCTATATAAAAGAAATAATATGGAGACCCATATGTTTACATTTTTCAACTGGGTCCGAAGTTTCTCCATCTCTGTGTACAACAAGGTAATATCAGAGGCAGATACTTGAGACTGCTGTTCAATATCTGATGGCAGAAGCACATGGGAAGGGATTTTCATCACATTTCCAAGGATGTGTGCCTGAAGAAAAGAAAGAAAAAAATAAATAAATAAATAAATAAAAGATAATATCCTCAAAAGTCAAAATATTAACATTAGCATTAAATCAATCAACAAAATGGTACACAATGAACTTACACCATTCATGCAACTATTATCTTATGCACAGTGATACTACAAAGATATGCAATAAATCTTTTAAAAAATCTGAATTGCAGAGGACAGTTTTTGTATTATCTGGAACAAGACACACAAGAGTGGGAGTTTAACATTAATACATGCCTCTAAATTCCTAAATACTTTATGCTAGACTTTACATATTTATTTCAATGAAATACACAAAACAAAATTTTATATATAGAACTTCAGTTAATAAGGTACACTGCAGAAAAACACTTCTGCTCACTTCTAGTTTCTGCATCGTTTTGGTGTAGTTGCTGTCAGTCTGCTGATGCAAGAGGCCAATGCCTTTTGAAACCTCTTCCTTTGAAATGATTTCCTCTGGGATCTAAGAAAAAAAAAAAAAAAAAAAAAACAATATGAACAGCAATACATAACACAAACTTATTTTAGTGTTAATTAGTGCCGATACACCTTATTTAGAGTATTTTTTCCTGATCTTTGTGAAATTAGTTTTGCACACTCAACATTACTCTGGATGAGAAATCTTCTTACCTGAGTGAGATGGCCTTCCAGTTGTTCCGTTGCCTCACTGAGCCGGTCCAAAATAAGCCCTTTCACTGTAGCAATTAAAAACAATAATTATTCTCTGTCACTTTAGATGAAGAATCACTCCTAGTTGAGTATCAGTGAACAGTAAGGGAATTAATTTTCTTAATCAAACTCTTACTGCAGTGCCTTTCAGTTCATACTAGCTAGACACATTGAATATCATTATATGGAATGGGATTTCCATTTATTTTGACGCCTTCCAAGCAATTTATCATAAAATAAGTAACTTGTTTAAATTCTATCTCTCCTGAATGTGTGGTGATTATTTGTTGACCTGCAATGGATATGCTCTTTAAGATATCATACGAGTTTTTAAATTACAATTTGCGATGGAAATGTCAGATGAAAATTCTCTCTAAATTCTTTCCTGTTCACCTTTCCGAAAACTGACTTCAACAGAGTTCAGGACAAATACACTAACAGCAGTAAAAGTATATAAATACCTTTCCTGCTCATAGTACTAATAACGAAAAGAAAAAAGAAAAAGGCATCGCACCTCCATCGAGAAACGAGGAAGGAGAAAACCCAAAGAACTGAGTTTCATATTGCTCGTCGGGAATCACGCTCGCCATTTCTTTCGTTCCTTCTTCCTATCCTTCGTTTCTTATTATTATCTGACACGAATGCCACTTCTCCGCCTTCCTTCGCCTCTTATTCTGTGGCGAAAATATACACGCTTATTAAAATAGTCGTCTAATTTCGAGAAACCACGAAAAGGGCCCGTCCGTCGCGTCAGAAACGAAATTCAAACTGAACTTGTTTACATTTGGGACGTTAGAACTTGGGACAGAATTTTTAGTAAAACAA